GATTTAATGAAGATAAATAACATATTAAAATCTTGTACTGGTCTGATGTATGTAAAACGCATTGGCAATTTCCTTTTCAAAGCTTATTTTTCCACAAAAAAAGATGCAAATGCATTTCTTTTAGATAAATCTTTATTAGAAAAACATGATTGGCAAGCAAAAATTCCCTATGATCGTCTGGAAAGTCTAGGAATAATAAAAGTACCACAAGAAATTAAAGAGGAAGATTTATTAACAAATATAAAATCGAATTATGAAGTAATAGGTGTGAAACGCTTCATGAGGAAGAATCAGGATGGATCATTCTCCCCTACACCAACAGTGCTTGTTACATTTCTGAGCTCAACTCGTCCTGATCATGTGACTTATGATTTTATGTGGTTTGATGTAAAGGAATATATCAAACCTGTGCGCCAGTGTTTTGTCTGTTACAAATTTGGACACAGCCGTGGATCCTGCAGAAGCTCTCAAGTATGCTCTATATGTTCTGGGAATCACTTCTTTAAAGAATGCACCAATAAAGACAAACTTAAATGCATCAATTGCAATGGTACTCACATGGCTATCAGCAACACTTGCCCTATTAAATCAGCCAAAAATCAAGAACTGAAAGATCGAATTAGTGGCAAACAAACTTATGCTACAGTCACCTCTAAAGTTCAGACAGTAACTTCAGATATCCCAAGATCTGATACTTCTACACCAAAACATCACTTGAAGCTACTTAATGCACCACAGAAAAGATTGTTATTTACAGATATTCTTAACTCAGATGATGTGCTAAATGTATTAACAAAAACACTTGTAGACATTGCTGTAAATAAGAAAGATGCTCATTCAGGTAACACTATCTCATCAAAACTCATAAAAGAAACTCTTATTTCCAATTTTAATTCCTAATTTTATGGACAGTGAGGTTGGTATTAATGAATTTCACATTTGTCATTGGAATTGTCGCAGCATTTTATCTAAATTAGACCAATTTAAATATTTTCTCAATAATTATTCTTCCAAATTCGATTTAATTCTTCTAAATGAAACTTGGCTTGATACTTCAAAGCTATTTAAGTTGCCTGGTTACAAAATTATTCGACGTGATTCTGATCATCCTCATGGTGGCATAGCAGTTGCTATCAAAGACAAGCATGTTCATAAAGTAATTAATACACCATCAAATTATCACTTTCAAAATTTATTAATTTCAGTCAAGACTGGCTACACTTGTGTTGATATACTATGTGTGTATGTACCTCCTCCACCTAAGGGTAAATTTGATTTAGAAATGCTTTCAAATTCATATAAATATATTAAAAACAGAAACTATTTATTGATTGGTGACTTCAATGCTCATCATTCATCCTGGGGCTCTAGGTATAACGACAGAAGGGGCAATATAATTAATTCTTTTGCTGACGACCATAATCTTATTTGCCTAAATGATCACACAGTCACAACTTTTGCATCGTATAATCAGAACGGCAACGTTTTGGACTTGGTTTTTGCATCACCTGCGGTAAGTTCAAGTTGTACATTCTCTGTTTACGACGATTTGATAAGCAGTAATCATTTTCCCGTTTTAATTAGCTTTCTGTATCACGACCATATCAGTTTTTCATCATCTGCAAAGAACGTAAATTCTCAGAATATTTCAGATAGTTCTTCTTACTTGGCTGATGTTAACTTTCTAAAAATAGATTGGTTAAAATTTTCCCAGCTATGTGATGATGCTTTTTCCTGTTTTACTTTAGAATCGGATCCTTTAACAAACTATACTTCATTTATTGAAAATTTATGTAATATTTTAATGACATTTCCTAAAAAACAAAAATTCAGTTGCCATAACAGAAAACGCAAGCCTACTATTTGGTGGAATGATATTTGTTCTCTAGCAGTTAAAAGAGCTAAACTCGCTCTAAACTCATTTAAAAAATATCCTACTTTAGAAAATTATATTTTATATAAGCAATTCGATGCTAAAAAGAAAAGAATATTAGCTGAACAAAAGCTTTCAAGTTGGGCCAATTTTTGTAATTCCTTTAACAGAACTACACCTGTTAAAATAATTTGGGATCAAATTAGAAGATTTAAATTTGCTAAATTAGGAAATATTTCTAGGTCACATTATTTTGATAATCAGTCCAACGCATGGGCTTATTTAAATAATATAACTCCTTCGAATTCTTCTGATATAAATTCCTATAATTTAGATTCGTACTTCACATCCAAGGGAAGTGAGTCAGCGAAATGGATCCAAAATCCCTTTCATATGTTTGAATTTGAAGCTGCCTTAAATAATAAAAAGAATACTTCACCAGGCCCTGATTATATTCCATATTCTGTCATTAAAAATCTTTCTGAAAACGCAAAAAGTCTTCTTTTAAATATATACAATCAACTATGGAAAAATAATATTATACCTCCTATCTGGAAGACTCAGATTGTAATACCTATTTTAAAACCTAATAAGGATGGCAATAGCTCAGATGCGTATAGACCCATCTCTTTGACTTCGTGCTTAGCAAAGTTATTTGAGACAATGTTAAAAAATAGATTAGAATGGTTTATCGAACATAACTCTCTTATACCTGATTACCAGTTTGGTTTTCGCAAGGGAAAGAGCACGATGTACAATTTAGGTTGTTTATTAGGCGACATACAAAGTAATCTTAGAAAAAATAAAATAACTATCGCCGTTTTTCTAGACATAAAAGGCGCATTCGATAATATTAAACACGAGTACTTGATTCAAACTTTAAGTTCATTAGGTATTCCTGGTCCAGTTTTATTTTGGATTTTTCAGTTTTTAAATGGTCGCTCCGTTACATTAAAAATTAGGGATAATTTATACGGTCCGTGTAAGTCTTTTAAAGGTACCCCCCAAGGATCAGTTATTTCACCACTACTTTTTATTTTAAGTCTTGTAAATTTTATGAAACTCATACCGAATTTAGTTAAATATACTTTCTATGCTGACGACGTTGTTATATACTTAGACTGTGAAGATCTGTGTAAGGGTGAACGAATTATGAACAATTGTCTTACCTATCTTAGTAACTTGTTAAATAATCAATTAGAACTAGAAGTAAACGTAAACAAAAGTTCAGTTATGCTCTTTGCCTATAGTTGCCCTGTCAGTCCTCGTATATATTATAATAATACTCTTATACCTTACAAAACGTCTGAGAAGTATTTAGGTATCATACTTGATTCAGAATTATCTTGGGGTCCCCACATTACATATTCATGTAAAAAAGCAGAATTGCGTTTAAATATTTTGAAATCTCTGGTTGGGGTTAACTGGGGCTCTGATCCAAAAATATTGAAAAGCTTTTTTATTTCTACAGTTCGTAGTCAATTAGATTATGGTAGTATTTTTTATGCTCACGCATCCAAACAGTTTCTGAAAAAACTAGATATTGTTCAAAATAAAGGGCTAAGAATAGTTACAGGGGCTATGATATCTTCTCCTATAAATTCCTTAGAAGTCGAATCTGGAGTACCGCCTTTACATATAAGAAGAAGTTATTTATCAGAAAAATTTTGTCTGAATTTAATTAGTCGTGACAATGTTTTAGTTAGTCGTTACCTTGAAAATTTTGCAATCCCTAATTATAATAATATTCCTATACCTGCGATGCCTTCCATTACAGAATCAATCACCTATTTAAACTTTGAATTTCAAGATATAATTTATTGGTCGTTTAAACCTCCTTGTTTCTCTTACAACTTTGCAGTAATGCTACGTGATGTTGAAGTTACGTTAACGAGATTCGATTCAAAACAAGACTTTTATGAGTTTCTGAGCGAGAAAAAAGATTACATAAAAATTTATACTGATGGTTCTAAAACAAATAATCGCACTAGTTTTGCATTTTACGATTCTTGTAATAAAATTGGTAAAGTTTATTCATGTGATCACAATTTCTCAATTTTTTCTGCTGAAATCTTAGGCATGATTTATGCTGTTAAATATATATTATTGAATTTCAGTTCATCATCATTTTTCAAATTTATAATACTTAGTGATTCTATGAGTGGACTGTTTGCATTAAAGGATAAATGTATTGATGTGAAATGTAACTACTTAGTTTATGAACTTAGAAACCTGGTTGAACTATTGAATCAATGTAATTTATTAATTGAATTTTGTTGGGTACCGGGACATTCCGGCATATTTGGGAACGAGCTCGTAGATAAACTTGCACGATCTGCACAGAATATAACACTGATAAATGATTACAAAGTGCCATATAGTGATTTAATAATTCGTCTAAAAGAAAATATGATCAAACGATGGTCTATATCCCTAGCCAATTCACGTCTTACTAAGGGTAAATGGCATGCCGAAATTGTCCCTGTGCCCACCACTAAAGCCTGGTTTGAGAAATTGACTACCCCGAATAGGAACTTCATAACATCATTTTGTAGATTAAGAATAGGTCATTGTAAATTCCCATCCCATCTTCACCGCCTCGGATTAAGCGACAGTGCATTGTGTAAATATTGTACAGAGACAATATGTGACCTTCAGCATTTATTTTTTAATTGTAAATATTTTAACTTGCAGCGTCTTCTTTTTGTTTCTTTGTGTACAGATCATCTAAAAAACAAAATTTTTCCAAAAAATGTGCAGGACATGCTTAAAATAGTTGATTTGTATGTAATAATTTATCATTTTTATAGTAATACTTTTGGTCTTCTGTAAATGATTATATCAAATTTGATTCTTCTTTCTTACATTTAATATTTAATATTTATATAACATAATTTTAAGGGTTTTTTAGTCTAAGGATTTTGTAGTAGTGTTTAGTTCTAATTATATGTATGCACTAAAGGATTAAGCTGATGGCCTTGGTAGCCAATGCTCTTAATAATAAAAAAAAAATAAAAAAAATTAAATCGATGCCGGCCGGATAGTACCGGTTGTTATGTCAAGTTGTTATCAACAAAAAGTTTTATCATCAAGTGTCGTAAAATAATTTGTCTTCATTTTATTTAAAATGGTTTCTAAAATGCCCAAGGTTAAGTTTAATAATGGATTTGAGTGTCCTATATTGGGGTTAGGGACATGGAAGGTAATTATCCATTTATCTTTACATATTTCATTGCGTATTGATCATCAAAAGGTGGTTATTTCTCGATCAAATCAATATTTTTTCAAGGTCTTTTCTTACCGCGTTGAAGCGTCTGAGCGTGCGACTTGTAATTATAATCATAATTTTATTCTGACAAAACATTATAATGAAATACTTGTTTTAATCAAAGCATTTAGGTACCATGACCTTGTTATGGGCCATCTATAAATTACATTCATAAAATCCTAACAGCAGATAACACTTCAGACACATTCCCGTGTAGGTTAACCAGTTGAAAATTTAAAAAGTGAAAGAAAGGCAAGGTTTATGGAGGCACTGAAAAATCTTAGATTTTAGTGAATTCAAGGAAATTAAAGACTTAGCTTATTCAAAGAATATATTTAAAAAAATACATTGAAGTTGTGTACACCTTTACACACAAATTAACTATGACTCACAAAAATAAGTAAAAAATAGTGTTATAAAGTAGCCTGTGGTGTAGCATATGTGTCTGCCGCCCGGGGCGCAAGACAATTTTACTGCCTCTCTTAATTAGTTATTTTATATAATTATTCTTTACATTAATTTTAAAGAATTTTTCGGTAAGATCTGTCATCATTATTTTGCATTATACAGGTTAGATTTTGACTGCACGGTTATTGCCATGCAACTACCCACAGATCGAATGTTCTTGTTTGAGCCCAAAAAAGAAAATTTTTTGTTTGATTTACAAATAATTGTTCTTAGTCTGTTTGTACCTTGTCCCATGCAACACAGGATTTGCATCCTTAAAAGGATGAAAGAAAGGCTTGTCTTTTAAAAAACAAAAGAAAAGATTTGAAATGAAAAAATATGAAGTAAAAAACTGAAGATCTATGAATAAAAATTCATATTTCCATTCATGGAGTTGAACCATACAGAGGCAATGAAAAAAATAGGATAGCAATTTATCATACTAAAATAATCTAACCCTGTTCAATTGTAATGAGTTTTCATTTTATTCTGAATGCCTACAGTGAAAGATTAGTTTGCGATATCTCAGTTGTATTATGTTGACAGACATTCACTTCAACTTATCAAGTTTATGTGAAGTATTTAAAATTAATAACATTTATCTTTTATATAAGCTAAACGTTGATAACGAGACATGCATCAATTGCCTGTGTTGAGATAATCTTAATATCATAACTTCATGTGATAAATAACTGCATTGTTGAAATTTGTTGATGAATACTGTTCTATTGACAGCATTATCAAATTAACAGTAAAAGTAAGTTGCATAAACATAAGGTTTAATGATGCCTTAATCTGTAATGATTATGAAAAATTTGTATTGGTAAACGGTCAGTTACACAATCGTCCATTATCATTTAACAATGCCTTTAAGCTCTAATTAATGTAAAATTTCTATCAGTAATTGTTTTAAACTAATTAACAAACAAAACCTATTCAAATTTACAACATTTGGAGCTCAAAGTGGTCAGCGGAGCCTAATAGACATTTGTGCAACTGACTGTAAGACTACTATGCCATTAGCAATCTTCATACATATACAAAATACTTATTTCATAATACAAGATATATCATACCTAGTCCTACATAAGGATATGTAGGAAAAGAAGTCCAAAAAAAAACTGACCTTTGTGTTAGTAAATTTTTGGTGCTATTGGTGCCCCAGGACTTTAGTAGTTGCTTATAGGCTAATCTGACACTGCTTATAGGAAAGATTAATATTTTTTTCTTATGGGGGTTTGTAAGAAAAAAATAAAACTGGTCCAATTTACATTCATTAATGTGACCATCGAGTCGACATGATTTATCCTGATGAAGGAAGGAAGATAATGAAACAAATAAGACCACCAAAGAAAATAACACTTCCGGTTTAGACTGCCCATCGCAACCCTTTTCGGTTCCCTTATCATTTATAGAAACGTTAAGAAATAACATTTTTTTTAATTGCAACCTTAAGCGTACATAAAAAGAAATGTACGCGGCCCTTTTGTCGATACGCTCAGTTTCGATAAGATTTCGATAAGTTTCACTGAATTCCTAAAGCCATAATACCATGATACTAATAATTTAAACAGACTTATCAATAATTTCAAAGAAATCGAGGATCGGCACAATTATTAATTTTAATATCATCCTCTCAGTCCAAACCTGGTGAAGTAACGCAGGCTGTGAAAGACGCCATCGACATTGGCTACAGACACTTCGACTGCGCCTACGTGTACGGCAACGAGAAGGAAGTGGGCGCAGCAATCACTGAGAAGATAGGTCAGGGCGCCGTCAAACGGTATGTATAATAACTGTAGACCAATATTGTGGATGTCTATGTAATTATCATTCTTGTTAAGGGGCCGTCCATACATTACGTCACACAAAATTAAGGATTTTTAAAAAATATAACAGAATAGAATATATATATATATATTTATAATTTTGTAGAAAAAATTGAACAGAATAGAATATAACAAAATAACTATGTTGTCGTGTAATTTAAAATAGTACAAAAAAGTTATAATAATTGTTCAAAATGGTCTCCGCGATTTTGCTAACACGCGGTTGCCCTTATTTCTAACTGTTGGATTGATCGGCGAATCATATCTCTGTCTTCTCTGATCTCGTCCCCAACAGTAGCAATTATTGATATTAGTTCCTCTCGTGTGTTGGGAACTTCGAAGTAAACTTTTTGTTTAATTTTCCCCCAAAAGAAATATCTAGGGGAGTTAAATCTGGAGAATGCGGTGGCTAGGCAACAGTTCCACCGCGTCTGATCTACGGCGAATAATTTTCGCCTAAATGATTCCTCACCTCTCTCGCAAAATGAGACGGTAAGCCATCCAATTGTAATATCATTCTGGCTCTGTATGCTATTGGCAGTTCCAGCAAAGCGTCGAAAAACAGCAAAGCACAGAAATTCCAAAAATCCTGTACCATTCATTGTTCCTGGTAAAATTAAAAGTCCAATCAGAACGTCTTTTGAATCTAAGCAGTTGTTATTGTGTAATTTCATTATGCAATCTATAAATATTCACACTTATATCTGAATCGAAATATTTATAGATTTAATTAAGAAATAGATAGTTCATCCCTTTAATGGTGAAATTGCAACTGCAAAGCCTCTAATTATTATTTAACAAAAAGTTAAAACTAGGTAGGTATATTGGGTGTCATCCAAGAACCACGTAAGCAGAATTTTAGTACTCATTTTCGGACTATCCAAAGAGTGATGATAAAATAACGCTTTTGAAAATTGAACGATTATGAAACAATTAGTTATTTTGCACACATTTATCTTTTAATCTCTCTTCGCCACCAGAGAAGAGCTCTTCATAACATCAAAACTATGGAACACCTTCCATCGGCCGGATCTAGTGCGAGGCGCACTACAGACAACTTTGTCTAACCTCAATCTGAAATACCTCGACCTATACTTGATACATTGGCCTCTAGCATACAAGGTATGTATTCTGGCGTTACATCTAGCATACAATACTACTGTTTTAAATTAATAATTATCCCAAAAAAAAGTTTATGCAAATAAACCTCATTATGTACCTAAAACTGTTTAAAAAACCGCGTGAACGGCGACTCAGAGGACGTTAAGTAAATCAATAAGTGTGTCATTTGTAGGTAAATTGGTAGTAAAACTGTCTAGGACGTTTCAACATTATAAAGTGTAAAATAATCACTAATAAAGTGTAAAAAGACGTCCCGCGATCACATTGGTGTGTCATTTGACGTGAGACACAGACTACAAATATAGGAAAATTATATTTTTGTTTATCGATTTCAAAACATGAACTTTTTATCCACGTACATTTTATTTTTTTATCTAATTGGTGTCAGATTCCATTAACATCCATGTTTGCATTGAATTAACACTGCTTGAAATAATAATGGACTGAGAAAGAAGTAGTTAAAAACACGGTGTTGTTATCAGAGTCGGTTGATTTGATTTTACTATGCGTACGCGGTCAGCTCTTCTCGGCTGTTGTCAAGTCCGTTCGGCTAAACTCGGTCACTCGGCGCGATGTCGCCGGGTGGCAGGTGAATTGAAATAACATCCAGCATCAGCATTCACAATTGCTGGGAGCATGATCGCAGATACGTTAGAACGCGCTAGAGTGCCACTAATAGACAGAGAGCTCGCGACAGAAATGTGCAAAGTTTTCTAAAGCTTGATATTTTTATTTTCTTTTCAAAGATGAAGCAACAGTAGTGTCATAATAAGTACAGACAATATTATGAAACAGAGAACCGATGACAGACTCACACATATAGATACAAACTGTAATAATAATGTAAACCAATGTATTGAGTACCCAGTGTATTGGATGAGTTATGTTATGCCCTTAGTACTTCAACACACTGAAATTTTTTTAAAACTCTTGCTCATTTTTGTCACAACTCTTAGACTAACGGTCAGTTTCACAAAGTCCATTAAGATTTAATTCGCTTTACACTAATGTCAATTTTAATGGACGTTTGTGCAAACTGACTATAACAGCCTGTATACACCAACACAAAACCTGTGCAGTATAAAGGCAGTATAGTGAATATTTCTTTTAGTTGCAGTCATTTTATGAATTATTTAATTTCTATAACTAACATTTTTGTGCGTCTGTTAAAGGTCACTAATATTTTTATATTTGATTAATTTTGCATTCGTGAATGCAAAATGGAACAAATATAAAAATCGGTTTTAATATTTGTAAATATATTTCTTTAGTAGTGGATTGCCTGAACATTGATGAAAATACGCTATGTAGTAGTGAAAAAGTAACAACTGCTTGAAAAATTCGTCAGTTCTGTTTAGTACTGGATAGCTCAGCGGTTAGAGCAGTCGTCCGGATTGCGAAAGGGTTCGAGTCCGTTCTCAGAGTGCCAGGGACGAAGTGGATTTTTAAGCATTTTTCATTAAAATACTCACAATATTTTTTTTCTGCAGGAAGAAGGCGATCTTTTCCCTTCTGATGAAAACAACAAGATAATCTTCTCCGATGTTGATTATTATACTGCATTTTTAAATTTATACTGCATTTTTCATTAAAATACTCACAATATTTTTTTTCTGCAGGAAGAAGGCGATCTTTTCCCTTCTGATGAAAACAACAAGATAATCTTCTCCGATGTTGATTATGTTGACACTTGGAAGGCGATGGAGCCATTGGTGAACGAAGGCTTGGTGAAGAGCATTGGCATATCTAACTTCAACTCTAAGCAGGTGGAGAGGCTGCTGCAACACGCCACCGTCAAGCCGGTGACGAATCAGGTGAGATCATAGATATGCAGCTACTTCTTCCAGTAGTTAGGAAATGATGGGTGACCGGAAATCCCGGTGGTGGTGGTGGTGGTACATTACATAGAACCTTCTCATTTTTGATTTTGAAGTCTGTCCAAAAGTTTCTTAGTCAGCTCCATAGTCTGATCACATGATTTAAAACTTAAATAATAATCTATCAATTTTTATTTTCATTTTACAGGTAGAATGTCATCCATACTTGAATCAGAATAAGCTGAAAGCATTCTGCGAGGCCCGCGGTATCGTGATCACCGCGTATTCCCCACTCGGCTCCCCGGACAGACCGTGGGCCAAGCCGTCCGATCCACAACTATTGGAAGACCCCAAACTGAAGGAAATAGCCGACAGACTTAACAAAACTGTTGCTCAAGTACTCATTAGGTGAGTTTTTTTATAGTTCCGAACGTTAAAAAGGACAATCGTGGGAGAGGCAACCCATAAAAGTTATACTACTCTCTATAATATAGTCACAGAGCGCTGTTATAAAATAATACTGTCGTCAAATAAAACAAAGTCTTGTCAGTTCCATAACAATGTTGCTTCGTCTCGCTTTATTATTAGTTCGACGAAATAGCTGCGTCCTTGTCAGTACTGTTTGGCAGGCATACGCGAAAATCTCGTTACAAATATGCAGTAGTTTCGCGGACGTTTCGTTTCGGTGTACTACTTATGGGTTGTTTTAGTGCTACTCTTTAGTGTTTTGGGGTGGCATTATTATCTTATTATAGTTGGAAGCATCATGGTCTTTTTTTATGTTTAAATTATCCACTTGGTCCCAAAACAAATTTTATCTTTATCGAAAGTTTAAATATTTGTAAAAATATTTCTTTCGGCTGTTTGGGTGGATTGCCTGAACATTTATGAAAATACGCTCTGTAGTAGCTAAAAAGTAACAAGTGCTTGAAAAATTCATCAGTCCTGTTAGGTCCTGGTTAAAGCAGTCGCCCGGGTTACGGAAGGTCATTGGCTCGAATCCCATTACAGGGTGCCAGGGATCAAGTGGATTCTTTAAGCATTTTTCATTAAGAAAAGAAACATTAAGAGTTGTTAGTAATTTTATAATTTCAATTGACTTGTATATGTATCTTTGACATCGAATAAGTGTATATAATCTGAAAGTGTTATATTATTTATATCAACGTTTGCATGCCGTGGTAACCTATGATTAAGGCAAAATTTAGCATCGATTTTATATTATAAGCACTGAATAATTTACTTATAGACGATTTGTGTCTTGTTGGTTGTCCCAATCAAATAAATAAATAAAGAATATTTTTAATATAATGGTATTTATTTTTAATTTGTTGTAGATATCAGATCGACCGCAACAACATTGTGATCCCAAAGTCTGTGAATAAAGCTCGCATCGCTAGCAACTTCGATGTGTTGAACTTCAATCTGTCACCTGAGGACATCAAACTGATTGACAGCTTCGATTGTAACGGCAGACTGGTGCCTATGACAGCGTGAGTTTAATGAACATTATACAATATCATCATCAATATCAACGTTAGACAATTGTAGCGTTCAATTTTCGCAAAGGTCGGTCACGGGATGGGTGACCATAATTTTTTTTATCTCGGCTAACTTCAAAGGCACGTTAAGCCGTTGGTCACGGTTATATTTGCATTAGTTAATACCCTCCGATACAGATTGGACCAGGGTGAAGGTTACGGTCCATCCTCCTTAACCATCCATAAGGAAGGCCAGGCCACAGTAAGGCTCGGGCCTAGGGTTGCCAATATTAGCATAAAATATTGTGTCAAAAGCCGAGTGATTAAATACTGGGTACTGGTCTATCTACACTTTTTTATACAAAACAAATTCTTAAATTAATGTAGTTATACTGAGCTGAGATAAAAATGGAAATAAAACAGGATTACTCAGACGCAATGTGATCACATGATTGCATATGGTGGGCTATATTCTATGCTGACCGATTTATAACAATAAATGTTGTAATAAGATATTATATTATTCCAATAGATATTGTCAAGCAAGCAAATCCATATGTAGTGCCTATTATGATACCTAAAAAAGGGGCAGCCCTTAAGGATATATTTATCTTACTCGACATATAGATTGATCGATTTCTATACATATCAGCTGTTGATTCTGATAAACGATTAAAGACCTATTTAAAAAAGATAATAGTAGATCACTCAGTCAGATTTCATAATGAACTATTCTATTTTTTCCAGATCATTCGGCCATAAGCACCATCCGTTCGAGAACGAAGAATTTTAAATATGCAATTGTTCATTTTATTTTAATAAGTCTTCATAAGACTCCATATAGTTTTATGTTTTATTAAAACTATTAAGTACAGTCACCGTCATAAAGTTAAATATGAGTACCAATTATTAAATAGTCAGATTCAACTTGGATGATCAAGAAGTAATGTAATAGATAAAAATTATTGAAGAAAATAAGTGGACTGTAAGTGGATTGTATTAATTATTTCCTAAAACTGTTCGAATTGTTCTTGTATGATAATTATATAGTTACTTTTTATTTTTAGTACTCAGACGGAGTTATTTAAGTAAAAATAATCTTTACTCGTTTCGTATCATCACAATTATTTTTATATTAATACGATATGATATTTATTTTCCATAGAAACAGCCATAGTAGAGTTTGGCTGCAGCTAGTTTCATATATATTTTAAATCTTGATCGTGACATATTTGACGGCGACTGTACTAGTACAAAGCCAATGGTGACGTCACGAGTAAAAGATTTTGCACTTTGTGTAACAATGAAGTTTATTTTCCAGTGTGTATTAAATTGCAGAAGTTATCATATCTGCTAACCTTTAAATAAAAGCAAATAATTGTATTTACTGAATGAATATATTTTTGCACCGTTTATTAGTAGAAATAAACACGTTAATTAATATTGTTTTTTTTATTTACTAGAACCTGTATTCGTATTTAAACGTGTCAATCAGGCTCATAGGGCTACCCTTTGCCTTTTTTCTCACTAGTTCGCTCGTCGGACTAGTGGGATTTTTCTCCTATTAGTTCGACCATCGAACTAATTTAAATTTCGTAATAAATTAAAAACGCTTGGTTAAACAAATTTGTGTTCTGCATTTTTTACAAAGAAAATGAAATCTAATTAGTGAGAGCCAAGGACCTTTTTGGAATTTGGATTGATAATATTTGCCAAATTCTACATATTATCTGCTGATAGAATTCGTGAAGAGTTACACGTTCTTACTGAATTTATCTCTGTATTTCGTCATAAAAATATGCGACTAAAATAAATACTTTGTGTACCTAGTTTATTCGATTTTCTTTATATCTTTACCTTATAGACTATGAATACTCGCAGGATATCGAAAGTTGTTTTATTAGTTCTACCTGTTTACCAAAATTTATTTATTCCCTAAGCTACGCAATTTGGCTATTTGGTATATCGGACTGATAAATAAGAGTCTAAATTAAATTCATTTCGAATCTAAGAGTGTGGCGCTGCCAGACTAACGGACACGTTACTTGTTCTGTGCAGTGCGCAATAAAGTATGTTATTATTTTTATTCTCAGTTCAGGTACAGGGGTTATTAAATAAAAACACATTTAAATAAACATCATTTTATTAATATGCTAAAATATAAATACTTACATAACAAATAAGACGGTCGTTTTCGTTTAAATACCGTTTGTTTGTTCCATGTTCCGTGAATGAACAAGTTACATCTCTACATGTCATTGACTCCACGTAGGTAACTGTTAAAATCAATGTATTATAGAAATCAGAAATAACAAAAGTATCTCAAATATATAGAAGCGACAACTTCGGGTTATAGCTCAATTTCAGTATCAATTTTCAACTAAATTTAAACAGGATAAAGTTTAAAATCGACTGATGAATTTTATATGACTCGATATGCTGTTGATAGATTGGATAAATTCCATAAAATATATGCGAAGACAATTAGTAGGGATATTTAATAGTTTAAATGCAAATCGTTTCATAATTATTTTTAAAAAACTAAGCCATCTGAAATTAAGCTTATATGGATTTTCACAATTTAACAAAAAGAAAAGTTTTTTTCACATCTTTATATCAAAGCCTCTTGACTAGATTATTAATTGTGAAAAATTGCTATTCATACCCACGTATATTAGTGACATATATGATAATGACAAATGTATAGCTATAATAAAATAAACAGTTATAAAACCAATTTAAAAATATAAATATTAAAAACTACAACTGTATTTATTACAATCTTTAGTTAGAGAAATAAAAATAATACCTATCCAAGACAAGATCTAAAATCCCGGGTCTTATTGACTGTCAAAAGATAGTGCTAGTATGCCATTTTTCTAAATTTATTTATGGAAATTTTGCTAATTTACAAAACATTAATGTGATCAAATGCTTGAACTAATACCCAGCAGGTACTGTCAATTGCAGGCAAATTCTGTTAACGTTAAAGTAATAATCTTTAAGCATCTCAATAGAATATCAAGCACTTGTATTTTGCTATCTACCTAAAGTACCATGTTATATAATGTCTGTCTCAGCAGGCCCGTCTAAAGCACAACGGGCATAACGGCCCTGTTCCTCACAAATATAGGTATTAGACTACAGACATAGTTGAGATTCTATCGGAATGCAATTATTGCGTAAACATAAGCAGAATTGATCTACTACACGTCAGACTATACAAAACTGTCAATTTTCCCTACTCGATTTTAAAGCCAAATATATTAAGGGTAGAGGTCAAAATTCATTGCAGAAATTTGACATAACAATATCTCAAATTTATAAATTTTAACGTGCAATGTTTACATGTATTTATATGTGGGCAGTCTTTCTAAGAAGCAATCACAATGTGCGAACGTATCTGGTTCAGACTTTAGCTTATAAGGGCAAACCACGTTTTTATAAAAGAACACAAATTGTCATTGATAAAATTAAATCATCAAATAGGAGAAACAGTGAAATCTGATTTTCCTTCTCTACAATAACTAAGTAAGGGAAAATCCTTGTTGTCTTTATTGATAAATTAATTTGACAGCATTAAGCAAAACGTTCTTTACAAAATCGTGTAAGTGGAGAAATAGTGCAAATTTATTTACTTATTTAATTTTTTTCGGACTTATTAGCCACTCATTAAAAAACTATTGAATGTGATCTGCATTATAATGTCGCATAAACATTATTCAGTTATTAGAAACTTGAATATGATGAATTCAATATGATCAATCACATACTTTTAATTTTCAATAATAGTTACTTCAGTAGTACTAATACATGTTTTATTTGTAAGTAAATTTCCATTAAAGTATTTTAGAATTATTCAAAAATACATTATTGCTTTGTTGGAACGCTTAATCAATACATGCAATATTGAAATATGTAGTGAAGTTTAATTAAACCAGTTGTAGGTCTTGTTACGAGGAAAGAGCATTTTCTTTCCATTGAGTCGAGGGAAATTGCCCAGAGAAGTATAGGTGAGTGTCAGGCTGACAGCGTCATCCTCTTTGTTATGTAATGATTTCTTGATCCATCTAGTCGCTTATTTCCGTTACGAAATAAGGATAAATATCCAAGTTACGTAGTTTCAGAGATAAACTAATTTTGGTGGCGCTGCTGGGCTGACGTTAGTTTGGCAGCGCCACGCTTAGATCTCTGTATCTATGAGGTCAAATTTCAATTATACTTTCCGGGTCATGTTTTAGTGCCTTATTTGCCAGTATGGACACAGTCGATAAATGGCTAAAGAGAGATAATTAAGAAATATGGTGGCGCTTTTGGGCTGACGTCAATCTGGCAGCGCCATGGTATATCTTTCTAGTGTTATTATTACAACATCAAACTAGAATCAGAATAAATATGGATCAATGTTAAAAAGTAGAATTAATTTTTCATCTAAGCCCCATCTAGTAACAGAAAATTAAATTATGAATATAGTTCTTATTTTTGCTTTTGAAATGACCGCTATGATATATTTTTAAACAAATTACTTTATTATCAAGTTTGTTACTATAAAATATTTTTTTAAGTTATTCTTTTTATTTATTCTTGTGATAAAAATGCCGGGTTGCAACTATATGTCTAATTTCCGAAAGTGATTTTGTACTCTAACTTGAATAAATTAAGATTAAAATTAAGTGGAGAAATTTGACGGTTTTATTTAAAAGTGACGTGCGTGACGTGTTGACTGTCAGCCAGTTGCATAAACGTCAATTAAAACCCATTACAAATATTCCATTAATTAAAAGCTTAAAGACGTTATTAAACCTTAATGGACGTTTTTATGCAACCTACCATGTAAATAAAAATAAAAACTTTCCTATTTAGACCCCATAATTAAAATTAATAGCTTTTATTTACTTTGAGTTATTTTGTAGTTTTGTATTTAATGTGTAGGTTTAAAAAAATATGAAACACATTATCGACTGTTTGTTTTTAATACAAAATATCATAACTAGAGACTCAAATAAATAATTTATGATTAATTCTAAGTATACAGCGTTACAGATAGAAAAAGTAATTTTATTTAAATATAACCCTTTACAATAACTATATATTACTATAAATGTGCGGTATGTTTGTCACAAAATTCTATCTAAACAGTATAAACTACACTTACAAATCACTTTTTTCATAGCCATTATAAAAGATAGATACAGACATACATACCATCTCAATCGCACTCTCACGTGATATCTCACTCACAAATCTATTTTTTTACATGTATGTATAATATTAGAAAAAAAACCTTTTTTATTTCAACAAAACAAACCGCTTAATAAAAGTCACAACACTAGTTCATTCAGTCGCATAGTCTGTGATTTTTAATATGTTCGTATTTATTCACAACAATCACTGTTATTTCGTATGGTCACTGTTACGTGATTTTATTCCCCTTTTAGCCTTTTACTGAACTCTTCTTGTTGTAGTTCCCGCCATTCTTTCTTCGCCTTCATTCTTTTTAGTTGGCCGTCCCTGAAAGAAATAGATTATATTGTATTTAAGCTATTTATCAACATGCTACTATAGAAATGCCTATTCTGAAACCTTTCAAATGTCTATATATAAAGTAATAGGGATGAAACCTAGGTTAAAACAAAAAAAAATATATTTAGTCCGTCAATAAGATAATAGAAAAATATTAGATAAGAATTTTTTTTTTTTCGTTTATATTTTATTACACAAGAACATACATAGATAATAGGCATTAAATGTGAGGAGTGGGGGCTTGTTGGGCTTACGTCACAACTATGTAGAAAATTTCACAAGGATGTCATGCGACATTTCAACCTAAAATGATAACTATGGGTGAGCTAATGAAAGATGGACTGTATTAAATAATCCTATTAATATTATAAATGTGGAAGTTTCTTTGTTTGGATGTTTGTACGTCAATCACGCCGAAACTACTGATCGGATTTTGATGAAATTTAGTATACAGATAGGGTGTTAGCTGACTTAGATAATAGGATACTTTTTATCCCACTAAACATTTCCCTAGGGTCCACGCGGGCGAAGCCGCTGGCGAAAGCTGGTATGGTATATTTGGAAGACACAGTAAAAACAAGGATAACACAAATTAATATTTAAAATAAACAACAAATGTGATCACCACGTAAAGACACGCAAGATTTTGACAGACCAAACTAAAACGTCAATGATAATATTCAAATTATAAACAAAGCTTTACAAAAAGGTGAGATGACCAGCCAGTTGCTAACATTAATATATCGCAAAAAAATACTTGTTTAATATTCTTCAATTCCTGACGGACAAACCAACAGTAATCAATCATCATCACTATTGTTATAAGTACTTGTTCGTCATTCGTAAAAGTATCTGTTCGTACTCAAACGGCCCCGTTAGTTACTAGAATTATTTTACAACCTCACTCGAGTCATAGTCGAGTTTTCGAGACACTCTAGTTAAAAATTTCACTAGAGTTGCAAATTTGCAATTCACGTGATATTACTTTAATCAAAACAAATACCTAACCTATGATAAAAATAAATATTATCATTGTGATGAATGGAGTAATATGGAATTAAATATATTATAAAAGTGTTATCTAAGTAACAAACAAAGTAAAAAATAAAGTGGTCGAAAATCTTGTTAAGGGGCCGTCCATAAATTACGTCACACAAAATTTTTACCCCCCCCCCCATGTCACATGTTTGTCTACAAATTCTAATGTCACAGTTCCCCCCCCCCCGCTAAAGTGTGACGTAATTTATGGATGGCCCCTAAGTCGAAAACTCATTAACTCGAACTTTTTTCCCTTGACATTCGAGCTATCGAGATTCCACTGTAATATATAATTACTCACCACTGTAGGTCTACCAGTCCTCCACGTCTCGCGACTACAGCTTTAACTCGATTGGCGAAATCGACCGCGCTCTCGTTGGCCGCCCGCCTCATACTCGGCAGGTACCAAACGTCGCAAACTATCGCCCATGACGTCATCATGTTCAGCAAATAGTGCAACATCCCGTAACGGGAACTGTTCCAGAACGCGTCACCGAACCGGGGGTCGTATCTAGACGAAACGGGGAGGAGAACATAGTGAGTAACTATGATGACTACAGACAGTTGCTAACTAATGATCAAGTTATGTAGTAGCTCGGTGGTATAGTGGAAAAACGCTGCGGCGATCGTTGCAGTTAGGCAACTTTCGCAAGGGTTGGTCTCGGGATGGGTGACCGAAAATTATTCTCTCGATTTGCGTGCCTCGGTAGGCACATTAAGCCGTTGGTCCCGACTGCATTTGCAGTCGTTAATACTCTCCAAGTAGCATTGGGCCAGCGTGGAGGGTTATGGCCTAACTATGAGCTCGGATAAAAATCGGATAAACAGTACAGTGGGCGAAACACCGCTATTGTTGCAAATAGTGCTGTCTCGCTCGCTGCACTGAATAAACTGCATAAACCATATAGCGCTTGGTGAAGATCTACCGATTCCGAAAATCAATGAAGGTACCATTCAATTTATTTTCAATCTTGTTTCAAATATCATCTCATCCAGGGTATGTTCCGATATACACTGCGAGCACTGCGCAGTGGTCTTACTGCTGAAAAATCCGTTCCGTTATGGACTGCCAGTACACTGCTACAGTACCCTAGGGAAATTTATGACGTCATAAATTGCCGCCATATTTGTACTGTGAGCACTGGAGATTTCGAGGTAAGGTGCTCGCAGTGCTTTTGATCACGTGATCAGTCGAAACAGAATCAGAAAATGATAAGTTTCTAAATAAACAAAAAAAAAAATACTTACGTTTATTATAAGATGGACTGATGGATGGATGATTAATTGATATATAATTTTTTTATACACAATTTTATTATATTTTCTTTTGAAAAGAGGGAATCTTTATTTATATTCACCTTGCATTAACAAATTTGAAAATGGCGCCAAAAATAGGATTAACAGTATACTGGACTGCGTTCCGTTTTAAAAAGTCACCAGTATAACTAGCTATAAAGGAACGGGCTTCCAGTATACTAAATTGACGTCATACTGTTCAGTGGTCGCAGTGTATATCGGAACATACCCCCAATGGCGTGATATTTGAACCAATCTAATTGGTCGACATTTGCCGTGCTTAGAAATTTCTCCTTCTGCGCAGGTGAGTGAGTCATATTAATTTTGTTTTATAGTACTATTAAATGAAATAACATGACACTTGAAGGCCTATTCTATTTCTCCGAAAACTAAATTTCGATTATTTCGAAACGTTAATAAGACTCCTCCTTAATACGACCCGCAGGTGTCATGTTAATTCGTAAATTAAATTTGATTACTTGATTGCAACTGGATAGATTGTGCCGCCAACTTCGAAGCTTCCCTTCTTGAACTGCATCACCGATGTGTTGTTTATGCACGTGCCCTCAGGGAATATCAGAATAGGTGGGTTGTCGGGTACAGATATGTGCTCCTTTAGTCTGTGCAACAATAACATAATAACATTAGTCAGAGGTTGCCAAACATTTTCCGTATAGGGTACGCCCCCTACAAAGTTAATATTGGATTATTCCAAATTTATGAACATCTAAGATATAACTTTTATAACCGAAGAGATAAAGAACAAAATAACCATATGAGACAATTAGAAATAGAGGTTCGAAATTGGATTTATGCATTTTTATTAGAGTACCATACTCAAAAGAGTAAAAACGGGACCTTATTATTACGACTCCGTTATCCAACTGTCTGTCACCAGGGTGTATCATGCAGCGTGATGGTGACATAGTTAAAATTTTCACAGAAGATGTATTTCTGTTGTCGCTATAACAAATACGAGAAACTTTTTTTTGCGACTTTTATAGATCCTGTGAATTTTTTTAGAATCCAACTCGCATTTAGCCGTTTTTTTTTTCGAATATATTGGCACTCATTTTATATCTCAGTTTTCATCGTGAAAAATTACAGCAAAGCGTATAAGGACAAATAAAGACTATCTAATTATATTTACCTTTTAGCGACAGCGTGTCTGTCTTTCACCTCAGAACGTTCGAACCATATGTGGGGGGAAGCCCTAGCGAGGGCGCGTTGTAAAAGCCCTAAGAACCCACCGTGACGTTGACCTATCTATAACATGGTTTAATTTAATTATTATTTAAATATACAAGCGACATGAAAAATATAATGAGTATGATAAATATTATTATAACAAAGTATTGTTAAAAGAAATGAGAATATCTTGTTAAATGTAACAAATTTTCCTCTATCTTGTTATGAATGAAATGTGAAAACAAAACATGTAGACCATTGGTTTTCAAACTTATGCTGGGCTACAAACTGAGGATGTTGTAAGTTGGATTTCAATAAAATAAAATAATTATTTTAATTGTTGTAAATAGTATTTCATCAATAAGGGCTGATCAATTTGTCACTAGAAGAGCTAGTGAAGTGCTAGAGGTCTTTAAAATGTCAAACATTTTACCTTGTCGGTGAGCTACGCGCGTGTATAAAATAAAAAGAATATTTTACCTGAGATTCATTAAAGCAATTAAAGCATGAAAATCGGAGCTTCTTAGCTTAGATTTTAAAATAGGATTAAGTTAAGCAGCTTGAAAGAACAGCTAATTCAGAGGTTACTAGTGTTATCTTGAATAAATTAGTTTATTTATTTATAATTTAAGTTCAGGCTTGAATTAAACAAACTTTCATAGGACCTCTCGCGACTGTCGCACCTTCTGGTGAACAAAAAACGGTAGCCCTCATTGAGCATTCATAATGCTAAAAATTGATGCTTAAAAAATTCACCTGTCCAAGGCACTCCGAGATGGAATTAGAACCTTTCGCAATCCGGGCGAATGCTCTTATTAATTGATTTGACCGAGAACTAATGAGACTGACGAATTTCTTAAACACATCTTTTTATTTAATATTTTTTAGAATATTTCTTAAATATCAATCTAAAATTATGTATAAAACTCAAACAATGTTTAAACTATACAAAAGGACCACATCTACGCGTTCGATACCAAATTTCAAATACCATTTTTATCAATGACTGTGACGCACACATATTTAAATAAGGTATCACAAGTACTTGATCTATTTGACAGCAATATTTATTAAATAATTTAACTTTATTTTATGATCCGAGGTATTGCACTACCTTTGTAATAAAAAAGTATTTTAATAACACTTCCCATCCTCCACCGACGGCTAGATCGACCGCAGAGTCCATGTAAATAAGATATATTACGGCAAACTATCGAAGTTAAAGATATTAGTAATTTATAAAATCAATTACATAAAACAAAGTTTTGTTTTATATTAATGCTCCGTGTAAAATTTTGTTTATCAACATTTGAAAACGGCTGCATTGTTTAATTATAAATGATCAACTTTCATTTCACGACAGCCAAACATTTTGACGGTTTCCCAAGTCCAATATACGTTTTCTACCCCCTTTCAGAACGCCCCCAGGGGGTCGCTCCATAGGTTAGGAATTTCTGAGATATCGCAACGCTAATAGATGTAGACCCTTCAATAATGTATTTAGAACGAGACAAATAAATTGATGTCGATACTCTATTCGTTATTATAAAATAAATATACACAAAACATCAACGAATATCTAAGTCATTTGTCTTTTTCTAAAGTACTTTATCACTAATTTCCCCAGCAATGCAAATAAGATACAATTACTGGATGCGATTGGAATGAAACCCGTTATAATGGAAAGCAACACATTAATACCCCAGCGTCATATAGCGTACAGCATCTTCAATGAACATGCAACCCTATATTTGTAAATTTAAGTTATATTTACCTTATCGACATACTTTGGAGATTCGTACCACCGTATGTGGTACATTCGTTTTCTGATTTCCATAACACGAGTGCTACATTCTTTAACTTACCTTGGAATAACATCTTTACGTGACTTGCAATCGCTACATGGTGGTAACGTCAGAAAAAAAACGCAACTATTTCATGACATTAGTAATCGATATAATAGGGATGACGAGAAATTTTTATTTGTTTGTCCGTCAAATAGTATGTTGAAAAATATTAAACACGTACTTTTTATTTTATTTCGTAATCATAAAATTACACGTTATGGTACGTTTTCTACAAAACTGTGACGTAGCGAGCCCCCACTTCTCAACTTTAATGGCTGTTATCTAAGCGATTTCTCGTTAAATTGAAGTAAAAAAAATACGTATCTAATATTTTTCTATTATCTGACTGACGGACTAAATAGAATTGCATTTTTTTTACCCAGTCGTCATCCCAATTATTTTAAATTAATGATTTAATTTACAAGCAAATCTGACTGGTGTTTACTTAGACAGCACGCGCAAGAGTTCGATACGACGAGAACTGCGACTTTGTCGAGTCCAGCGATTCGGACGAGTTCGCTACTTTGGCGAGTTAAGCGTCTCGACCCCGATCACTTACCAGCGAGTAGCTGTTGTCACACATGAGCACTAGCACATCAATCGGGCTCGTGTGATTGGCCACGCATATCCCGCCGCTCGGCCTGTTGTGGCAGTCGTGGTAGCTGATCACGGCCGATATGCACCGCGACAGAAAATTGAAGCAGACCAGTGACACAGCCCTGTTGGTCTTCTGTTTCAGTGGCCCGTCGGGGAGACTACCGATGACGGCGGTGCTTATTAGCAACCACCAGATCTAGCGAAGCCCCCACACTATTTCACCTTTCGTAACGCCAATGACGTATCGTGACCGAATGACCGGTTAGCGATGGCGTGCCCTGTACGCCATTTCTCGAAAATGTAAAGTAACATAAAAATTCTTTACCCATTATGTTTTACGTTTAGTTAATAGAATACTGATACTAACAAAAAATGTTTCAAGTCTTTACCCATTATGTTTTAGTTTATTTAATAGAATACTGATACTATTAAACGGCAGACTAAAAAAGTTAAAAAGTGGAATTTATTTATGTTACAATAAAAAAAAGTTAATACTTTTATCAATATAAATCGATTTTCATAAACTACATGATTAATAATAAAATAACTGTCACTATCAGTAGAATGTATATAATTACAATATATTTTTGTATTTATTTACATATTTGTTGCATATTAATGAAAAATGCTTTAAAAAAATCCACCAGCCGCAGGCACTCTGTGATGGGACACGAACCCACGACCTTTCGCATTCTGGGCGATTGTTCTAACCACTGAGCTACCAGGACCTATCAGGACTAACAATTTTTTAAAGCACTTGTTACTTTTTCTTACTGCTAGTGAGCGTATTTTCATCAACGTTCAGGCAATTCACCCAAAAAGCCGAAGGAAATATTTTTAACTTTCAGTTAAGATGATAATTTGTTCTAATAATTATATTTGCAATGCTACACTGAAAAATATTCCAAATGAAAAATGTTAAAAAAAAAATCTACTGGTTCAATATTTAAAATATCTATCCCGTTTTCACTATATATTTGTGTATTTATTCTTAAATTTGTTGCTTTGAAATATATCGAAATAACCACACTGGATCAAAGCTACTAATTTGTGGACTGGCGTACAGGGCACGGGGTCGCAGAGTAGGTACCAAGTTAACGTCGTGGCATTGGAAAAGTCAAAAGCCAAACAGTTCAACATTCTCAATTATTAATCTTTAAAAATAAAGAATTTGCTGTTTTATTACATTTCTAATGGACAAGAACATGAATGACTCGTGTATATTACTATTATTTCAAAATTAGGAATATTGAACTGGCAACATGTCGGTCTTGAAAATATACAGTAGACAACACAGTTCCAAATTTTCGTAAAACTAAATGGCTTCACATAAACCCATGTTTTATAGAATTAAATTCAAATAACGGTCACAAATGAGCATGCATACATAAAGTTCCCTGTGAATAACAACACATACTCCGTAATAAAAGAAAATACTACCAAAGAGAAACAAGTGTGGATGCTCAACATGGCAACATCGATCGGGCTGGTGTGATTGGCAACACAGAAACCGTTGCCTTTCGGCATGTATTGTGTGTCGTGGAAATTGCCGACCAGAGATACACTCCTTGTCAATATACGAAAAGACATCTTGTAAGATATTTCGCCGAGGAAACGTCGTATCTTCCCTTCCGGTAGTAAATTAATTATTGTGGTGTTTCCGAGCATTGTCGCCACCTGGTGTTGCCAGATTATTGGTAGTTTTTGGTAATTTGATGTTGCCAGTCGCGAAAGAAGGGGAAGAACGAAAAACAAATTAGTAAATGTTATTCTAATCTATATATCCGTTATTTTTAAATACATATTTTATAGTGGAAGTATTCAAATAATAAACATAAAGGAGTTGCTTCAATTCCGTAAACTTAAAATACGTATAATTTAGTATATTATATTTATTTTATATATGATATGCAATTTATAAGTAAAATATGTTTTTATAAGAAAGGTATGTTACAACAATTAGCTGTAAATTGTGTATTCAGAAATTATTATGAACAAACTGCATTTATTTCTTAAATTTATTTTTTTTATCTGTAATGTGTTTAAGCAAATACCAAGGCGTTAAGGACAAGAATATCTGTGTTGTTGAAAAATTATTGGAGATAAAATTTATGCTAACAATAAAAATAAATAAGTAAGAGAAGTACGTAGATAAGTAAAATAAGTAAGAAGAAGAAATAAATAAGATTATTTATCATATCAGATGTACGCCACAAAAGAAACATCTCCTTTTAGTATAATTAAAGTTAATTATTATAAAAATAAGGAATATGAAAACACAATAGTATATGTAGTTAATATCAGAACAGATAAACAAAACCCGGTACATATTAAAAAGTCGTTAAAATCACGCTGATAGTCATCGTAATGAACTAAAACAATAAAATGTACTGTAATCATAAAAATGAGTTTGTATAATAATATAATGTCAACTCACCCCGATGACGAATATCATGATCCTGAGCGGCAACAGGAACATGTATCTGACCACGAAACCCATCGCCCAGATTATGGTCAAACGCCACGTCAGGAATTCGTACTGTCTGCAGTAATTACAAATAACGTATGATTTATTTGTTAAAGGGGCGTAAAAGGGCAGAAGGAACTTAAGATGATGATAGAAAGGTGAGGTGTGCGAGAACGAGAGGGGAATATATGAAAAGAGTATGGTATGTGTGTGTCTGCAAGCAAAATTCGACTTTATGGTGATGAACCTTTCCTTCCTCCCACTGTACATATATATCTTAGAATACAATATTTAACGAGTGTATTTGGATTGAATACTATACTTTATTTTTACTTGATAGACTTGCAGGTGTATCTCACCTGTTAGTCCTGGTGAGGAGGTTCCAGCTGCGCAGTTCCTCCGCCTCGAACACAGATGTGACCTGGTCCTCTATGATCGACTCCATGCCCGCCTTCACCAGGTCGAGACAGTGCGACAAGTTGAACTCTAGACTCACCTGGATATGCAAAGCAAATTATTAGTCATTTAATAGAAATGTAACGGGATCGATATAATTGTTTTATCTCGAACTACCGCCCCTGCTTTGGGGTATCGATGTTTCCATACGGATTCCCAATGTTTTTGAAAATATTATATCGCCTATAATTGTCAGGGATAATGTAGATATAAACTTTTATTGCTCACTCGTAATTATTAAATTAGCAATTGCTTCTAACGCTAAACCAATGGCGGTCTTATCGCTAAAAGCGTTGAACATTTGGAAAGAAAGGCCGGAGGTGGTGGGCCAATAGTAAAGAATAAAAGCAAAAAAATATAATATAAAAATAAACAAAATTGTAATAATATACGCTATATAAAAGATGCTTATGCAATTTAGATTTGAATACGTCGACATATTTTGGGTGTCAGATAGCAGACGGCAGCTTATTCTAGAGCCCAGCAGCTTTCATGGTGAAGGACTCATGGCAAAATAATTTTCCGTATCGGTCCGTATCTCCAAGTCTATTCAATAAAAACAAAGAAACAATCAAAGCATTTCCTCTTAATAATACAGCTAATTGATAAAACGGTATAAGACATACCCTCTCTTCAGGGCTCCTGTGCCCATTCTGCTGTACTCTCTCTTGACTACTGCTCCGTTTGTAATTTAGCTCTGGTGACGGTCCCAGGATCTCCTCCCGTTCTATAACGGTCATCTTGGTGCCTGTGGACATACATTTAAATTGAATTACCCATTAACAAATATTAGATAACATATACCTCAAAGTAATGAGGAAGTATTTTAAAAAAACGAAAGCACTAAAAAAGCACCTCCACTAGATGGCGACTCTAGCAAAAGGTGATTGTGCAGGAAACGAATGAACATAAGATAGTCATTTCCGTTCCTTTTAACTAACATATAAAAAAACTGACATTTGAAAAGTTCGAAACTTAGATATTAATACAAATACGAAAAAGTACAAATAGAACATGAGTTGTTTATCGAGTTTCGAAAACTAATTTACTTTTAAACATGAAAGAAAACCGGAAGGGTTGTCATGGAGAAATCAAGAACGAACCGTAGCGACATCTAGTTTGATTTCGGGAAGTAATTTTTTTTTAAATACTTCCTCATTAAACTCTTGTATTATGGAAATACTAAATTATTAGAAAACTTCTAACACAGTAAAACGATAATAATTAATATAATTAGATATTAATTTTTATCAACAAAAAATGCATTTATTATATGTGATTAATTTTGCATTCACAAAGCTATACTGAAAAATCTAAAACCCTAACCAATGAGCTACCCAGGAATGGTTAGAGCAGTCGCCCGAATTGCGAAATGTCACGGGTTCGAACCCCATTTCAGAGTGCCAGGGACAAAGCAGATTTTTCAAGCATTTTTCGTTTATAATAAAAATATCCTATCAATATCATTGAATAAATATGAACTGAAATATAAATTAAATCAACTGACCGTTGGTGCCGTTCTCTTTGATAATGGCTGAAGGTGGTTTATCATCAGGTACTGATGGCTCCTCGTCTTCATCGGAGCTGTCACTGCGATGCACCTTCTTCGCCACTTCGATGTGTTGTCTTCCATACTGTAATAACAGAATATGATCTTTTAATAATCCGCATTGAGTCAGCGTGGAGGGTTATGCATGGCCCATCCTCCTTAGCCATCCATAAGCCCCTGCAATGGGGACGTAAATGGACTGATGATGGGCACAGTATATAGTTTAGATCCACACAAAATTCATATGATAACGATGCTCCGTTGCAATACGGAAAAAGGACAATGAAAGGAACTTCCCCATTTATGATTAAAGTAAACGAGTTTTATTAGTTATACCTATTCAAAAATTTTGTAGTTTCAAAAATCAAAATGCAGTTAATGTTAATGTTAAATGTTTTAATTTATAATAGATATTACCAAAAACATTATTTTATTTTATATTTGTTATGGGGATGGAAGGTCTTAGCGATGACGTGTACCTTGTGAATATTTCAATTAGCAATATTTGCAACCCTTAACCCCCCACCGATCCGCACTGGACTCATGTGCTTGTTTCCCTTCATGATTCTATCCATAACGAAGTCCGAGTTCATTAACGGCGACATTAATAGGGTATGATGCAAATATAAATTACTGACTGACGCAGTAACCTATAATTGAATCAAGATTTTATAGCCAATAATAATCTAAACACAACTTGTAGGTATACATTTATAGATAAACAAGTCTGTTTACTTCATTTGGAATAATAATAACACATAAATCCAAAGATATAATAACATATCATCATTATAGTTAAGTTGTGAATTTTACATCTTTACTTAATACAGTTCGTAATGTGCAGCTTAGAAACTAGAGATACTGGTAGAAAATAACAAAAGATTAAATTCCCAAGTAAAAAGATCACGGAAAAACTTTACTGTTATTTACTAGCTTTCCGACAGCGGCTTCGCCCACGTAGTCCCTAGGGAACTGTTTATTTGGATATCCTTTTATATCGTAAGTTATATACCTGATTACAACGACAAACTGAATTGTAAACAATGGTAGCTATCTAATATCTTAATTCCCGACGCCAACTTTCACTCACATTTTCATCCCTTTATTTGCTGTTTTTCGGGATAAAACATAGCCCATGTTCATCGCATATGATGTAGCTTTCCTTAGGTGAAAGAATTTTAAAAATCAGCACTGTAGTTTCGGAGTTAATTCGTCGCAAATAAACAATCAAATGCTGACTCTTTACAATATTAGTACAGATAATCGCACATTTATATGTTTTTTAAATATTAAACAGCATAGGTTAGTCCAGGATATACTATATCTGTACTATCTGATTCATAATAATCCGTTATAAGTTTCGACATGATCGATAAGTGCATATTAGTACAAGGATGTTACTTCGTAGTAACTATTTATATAACATAATCTATAATCATATTATTTATCCAACTTATTTATCGTTCAACGAATTTACTGATATTACTCAGTATACATTACAACTACATTAAAATATGACTCAGTAGGTAGAGTTAGTATTAATTTTTAAATTAATGTTAATCATGCTGACATGGTACAAGTAGAATTATCCCGATCCACAGTAACGTTGACATGGAAATAAGTTATATTTGGAATAGTTATATATGGAGTTTAGTTATTTGTTATAGTTATATATGGAATTAGCCGGATCCACAGGTACGCTAACATGAAAGTGTGACATATGGAATTAGCCGAATCCACAGGTACTCTAACATGAAAGTGTGACATATGGAATTAGCCGAATCCACAGGTACTCTAACATGAAAGTGTGACATACGGAATTAGCCGGATCCACAGGTACGCTAACATGAAAGTGTGACATATGGAATTAGCCGAATCCACAGGTACTCTAACATGAAAGTGTGACATATGGAATTATCCGAATCCACAGGTACTCTAACATGAAAGGGTGACATACGGAATTAGCCGGATCCACAGGTACGCTAACATGAAAGTGTGACATATGGAATTAGCCGAATCCACAGGTACTCTAACATGAAAGTGTGACATATGGAATTAGCCGAATCCACAGGCACGCTAACATGAAAGTGTGACATATGGAATTTGCCGTATCCACAGGCATGCTAACATGAAAGTGTGTCTAGGCTTGATAAGTAGGCATATTTATAGTATTTGTTACTTTGCATATAACATAATAAAACTATATACTATAATATAATAGAACGTAAACAAATCGAATACAATGGAAAGAAATCAAGATAATGTTTATATTTTATATGATATATTTAATTTTTAAGAGCCAATAGTAATATTGGCTCTAATAATACAACATCTGTCGATATTATTATTTTTTATAAGTAACAACTTTTGTTTTCAAGTCTTTTCTGACTAGATGGATTAAGTATCAGTTGGTAACCAAATGTGATTTGAATAAACATTTTACTTATCTATATTGTATTTATCATAATGATAATCGTTGTTGAAATGTAATGTTTACCTATTGGGTAATTATATCATTGATATTAGTAGGACATATGCACTTCCACTAAGTCAGTTTACTGGCTAGTACGGCTTGCCAGATAAGTGCGCCGGGTGGCGATGGGTTCTGTGCAATTCGGGGAGAGATCCGTGATTAAAGCCCAAGGGGGTAAAAGAAGAGGGTAAAGCGGGAGACATGCGGGCATGTCTGCAGACTTGACCGCGCGCATGTCTGTCTAGTGAATTCGCCGCTGACGCCCGGACAAATCTCTTTGGCGTAAACGTATCCTTCCCCTCTGTCAGAAACAGCGGTGACAGTAATCTTTGTATGGTTCCACCTGTCTAGAGTCTCGTGGACCCCAAGGCAGAACAACGAGCGACACTGCGACATTGTCGCAGACAGTCGAGTAGGTCTGCAGACAGTTCGGCAGTCTTACATAAATAAAAAAATTACACTAGCAGAAACAGAATTTTATTTTCAGGTTTTTATAATCTGTCGCAGACAGATCAAAACCCTTCTGCTATGTGGCTCGTGGAATACCTGAGTCTCCTACCCAAGAGGATAACCTCCAGGAGACGGAGAGTACCAGCCTGAGAATGAACGAAAAGAAGGAAAGTTTAAACGTTATTTCCTCTTCACAGCAAAACAAATCGATGGATTTTGATGAAACATGATCACATTTTTTTCTGGCTTCAAAACTTGCGCGTTTTGTTCATTTCTGTCGATTTCACGTGCGTCGACATTCAAAAGAAATAAGATTTTTGAGTAATTTAGTCCGTCAGTCAGTTCATAAGAAAAATATACATAAAAGATAGAAAGATACATACTTTTGCTTTTAAACAGGAAATGGCTTAGATAATAAGCAAGTTGAGTGAGGGCTCACTACGTCACAGTTATGTAATGTACAAAAACGTGAATCTATTGCCATAATTAATGGATTAGGTAAAAAATAAACAAATACGTGTTTAATAAACAAACAAACAAAAACTAGTCATCATCTCTATTATAGAAAGAGGTCAGATAGCAGCGTTCAAGTGTTCTCGCTGAACCTTGTCGGATTTAATAAATTTTTCCTCGAACCGCACATAGACCATAATAAGTCTTCGATAACTATTATTATAAAAATGCGTCAACACTACGTTTAAATCATTCATTTAGCCAGTGGTTTATGTTCATTATAAACAAAAATACATAATACATACAAAGATAGATTTACTATTACATCGTATGGTCCCAAATAAATATGCATGGTATATAATATTTTAATGTTTAGTATAAGCACACACGTGTCTTTGTGTCATAGTGTCAGAAGATCTTAAAAATCATGTATAGTAGCTATTTGTATAATTCATATTTATATCCGTTTATGCTTTAACAATAGGAAACATTTAACAAGGTTTTATCGCTATTAGAGAAGTTAAAAAAGTAAATTACCATAAATAATACTTTATCCTTTTCATTTCAATAAGTTTTTGTGATAACAATTTTATTTAATGCATTATGAATATAAACTCCTTTAGCTAGTACATTTTATTAAAACTATGTTAACGATTTCCCGGTCCTCGAAACTTTTGGCGGGAACCGAGAGAAGTATGACCTCTATTTAATTAGAACCTTGGGATCATTTTATGTCACTTCAATAATGACTGGAATACTCCAAGCGAATGGTGCGTGAACTAACATCTACCTAAAATCTAATAAATCAAATAAAACAGTTTTGAAGACGATCAAGAGAAGAGTTTGAACTAATATTATCTTTTATAATATAATGCAAAACATATGTATGTAGGCAAAAGATAAAAGAACCCTATGGACATGTGGACTTTGGCCATTATCACAGAATGACTAAGTTTAAAATCAATTTCCTATGTTCAGAGTTCATTATAAACGATACTGAAGTTTATAACAAATAATATATAAACAACGTTTCTATTGATATTATATATGTACTGTTATTACTTATGTCAATGTGGGCTTCAAAATGTAGGTGAAGTATAATAAGTCTATGAGTTGTCCATGTCTCCTAAATAAGGCATTAATCTGCAATCATCCTCTTTTTGTTTGAATTATTAGCTTACACCTCAGGAAACGTGTAAAAAATCACGTTTGTTGAACCCCCTTAAATGTTTATTTTATTTTGTTTTTTTTTTTTTTAGTATTGTCTGTGAAAATTTCAACTATCATACTCTAACTTATCAGCTTGGCAACAGACGGAGGGACGAACAGCGGTGTTAGTAAAAGTTGAAAAAAAAGTTGGAAAGGCATGTTATTAATTATTTATGTCCTTATTGATTCCAATATTTTAGCCGCCATTTTGAAAAATAAGGCGTCTTGCTCTTTACTAAAATATTCTTATAGTGGAAATCTTACTTGCTTTATGTGAAGATATTACGACCTTTATACTGCGGGCGACCTTATAACGCACGCTATTTGCACGCGGAGGCAATCAGCTGCTTATCTACTAACAAAGCGCCTACTTGAGCTATCTCGTTAATAGGGATGTACGTTATCTTGTGCGGATCTGCGCGTAACTAGGTAGGTAATTGAACTTACAACTGTTACACAACAACCCATCATAGTGTCGGTGGGTTATGCGGGGCTCTCCCATGCGGACCCGCACCTTAAAGGGGCTAGGCATACCCACTAATGCCGTTAGTACACCGACGTATTTGCTTGCCAAAGCGAAATTATGACGAATACAAACCATCTGCGTCTGTGTAATGATGAGTTTTGTAGTTGTCTGCGAGTACTGACAATGACGTAGTTATTTCATCGAGTCAAAAATAGAGCGAGACAAAGCACATGCGCATACAAAGTGCCATACAGTGATTTCCGTCTTCATAAATGCACGGGGATAGCCCGTAGACCACTTCCCGTTGTTCAGTTTCAGTATGAGTCACGCATAAGACTGTAGGAGTTGGATCAGATTTAGCTTGATCTATGATAAGAATTTATTCTAGATCTTGCGGTACCTCGTAATTACAATTTAAACTCCATTGGCATCGATTTTATTGGCTGGAATCACTCAATGTTTAATACACTTGTACTTATCGAGTACGTGTGTATTTTAATAATATAAACCGTAATTTGTGTCTCTTGACGGTCAGACCAGATACATGCAGTCGATATTAAGACGAAAATATCGATATTTTCACATCGCTAAGCAATATGGGTCAACCGGTGTACATCGTTGCAATGATACTCATTATTACAATAATATTAGAATCACGTGTACTAAACATTAGGTTTCTACATAGGAATTTTTGATTTATCTATAGTTAATAAATCAGAGTATGTATGTACAGTCAACAGCACGTGAGGCTATAAAAACTATTATGCTTGTTAGTATGTTCAAGTAATGGTTGTAAGCTGTTCTGTGCATCTAATAAATATATATGTAAAAATAAAATATTGTCTAGGATGGACCTACAAAAACAAAAAAAAAATCTGCACCCCTTTTTATATATTTTTTTATTATTCACCTTTTGTTAAATGTGATTTCATAGTTCATTTTTCCGTTTGTATAATTTTTATTATTTAAAATAATAAATAAATAAATATTAGAAAACATCACATACATTGCTCAGATTCCAAGAAGAGTTGCATACTACTCCATAATTTTAAAGTATCTGAGACAACGAAGATACCACAAAACCGGGACCTGAGATGTTCATTTTTCACATTGACCCAACTGGGAATCGAACCCTGAACCTTGCCTCAGAGATGGCAACACCTAGAAACTAGCATGCAAACCACTCGGCTATGAAGAGAATGTATCCCAATTTTTTAATTATTTATGTGAGTAATGTGTAATATTATGGTGTGCTTTTCTTAGATTCTTTGAGGTTTATGGTCTCATGGATGACTTTATGTAAGATTAGATTGTGTTTTCTTTATCTCGTTGAATGCACAAAATTTACTTATAATTGTTATAAATGATACATTCCAAAGTTAAACAATTATGACTTATGGTTTTACTTAACATCTCACATATACAACTTATCTTACATAAACAATTCTACCTATATATTGCTTAAGTTATAAAGATTTGACTTTGGGTTGTTAGTATTTAAATAATTGAAGGTTTATAGGCATGTACTTAAAACAACTATTAGGCAAATTTTGGGCATTCTTCAATTAGATGTTTAGAGTTTGTGTTAGTGATGGCGCACTGGCATTTATCTGATGGTTCGAGTTGAAAACGGTAGAGGTGTTCTAGGTGGAATGAAAATTTTGATCGAATGATACAGAAAAACAATTCCACTTTGTCTAAAAAGTTATCATTCTTGAAAAATCATATTTTTGATCAATGAAATCAGAACCACTACGCAACAATAAAATCATTTGTCTGATATTATACTTATAAGACTGCAGTTTGTTATTATAACTGCAGTCTATTGAAGTCACATTTGACTTCTATCAATCTAAAGTTGATAGTGAGGCTTCCTTCTAGAAATTTTTGATTAATTTAATGAGTCAATATGGTTTTTAAAGAAATGGGAATCGATTGAAGTTATTGTGCAATAGTAATATCATTTTTATGATTATTATCAATATATATATTGACTTTTTCCATTACACATGGCAAATTTACAGAAAAAAATTACATATTATTAATAAATTACGCAAACATTAGTGATTACTTAGCTTAATGTAAAATTTTTAAGAGTAGGAATAAATGCAAAACACTTTTGTATCTCAATGCCCTAGGCAAATAGATAGGGACAGAGGATGTTGAAATGCGCGTCAAAAACTGTTTAATGAATTACTTGCAAAAATAATTTATTGACTATTGTTAACTGCTGCATGATTTTGGTGTACCTACTTAGTAGTAGTAATTTCGTCCATGGGACAGGCAAAGAGTGTACCTACTTAGAAAAAATATAAATGTTTCATCCGATGTATTTACAATATTTCTTATGACAGTAGCCAAGAAATAAATAAGCACATAAAGCCATCGGTAATATGTAAGGATTAAAGAAAATAAAGATTATATACCTTTATTTACAATTTACCATTATGAACACTTATCAATGGATAACAGTGAGGTTATCTCATGTAATCCAACAGTATTAATGCCTACACAATGATTTTGTCATATCGAGAAAAAACAAAACTAACCAAATATCGAAGGTGAGTCATAGGAACGTAGGAAGAATTTATTATAAGACAAGAATGTTATACACATTGTAACCTTTAACTAAATGACATAAAATACGATACATATTTAGAAAAAAAACTAATAAAGCCTGCTTTTATGTAAACAAAAGAACACGTAACAACAAAGTAAATAAACGTTTTTGTATTTCCGTATGAAATTATTAAAAATTATTAACATAATATAAATACATACCTCGAAAAGCTTGAGTAGTATGTTTACATAAAGTCTCCTAACACCAAGAGATTTGCCGATAGAAGCTAAAAATATCACACACAATATTAAAAGGAGAAACGGTGTGTATAATATTGAAACTGCAACCGACACACACGACATTATTAACGCCATTTTCACAACTGATTGATTGTTGGTGTGGTGAACGAACGAAAAAACTAACTGAAGAATGATAGACGTTTTGATTGATAAGGTGAGCGATGAATGGCAAATGGCAAGATAAACAAAACAAAAGCTGTAGTGTCGTGAATAGCCGTTTAAAATTAACTCATTCTGTGTTAGTTATTTTTTAACAACTTAATTAGTTGCTGTGTTCATAGGTTTTCTTCTATAAAATTGTCGTAAATATAATTTTTACTGTAAATAATCTCCAGTTAAATGCTAAAAAAACGAAATGTATAAAGTTTATGTTACCTAATGTAAAAGCTGAACTTACAGAAATTAAACTTAATAATGAAAAGCTCGAGTTGGTTGATTCAACAATCTTCTTAGGTGTAACGCTGGATTCTAAATTGCAATGGCATCCTCACATTTCATTATTGGCAGGAAAACTAAGTTCAGCTGCCTTTGCAATAAAAAAAATTAGGCAACTTACAGATGTAGATACCGCTAGGACAGTATACTTTAGTTATTTCCATAGCGTTATGTCATATGGCATTCTGATGTGGGGTATGGCTGCAGATATAGAGTCTATATTTATTTTACAAAAAAGAGCAGTAAGGGCCATTTATCAATTGGGTTCAAGAACGTCACTTAGAGATAAATTCAAAGAAATTGGGATATTAACAGTGGCCTCCCAATTCATATATAATTGTATACTTTATGTTAGAAACAATATAAACAATTATATTAAACATAGTCATGTACACAATTTTAATACTAGAAACAAAGATAAACTTGTTTTGCCGTCATGCAGGCTAAAGAAGGTTCTATCGTCATTTATGGGTCAAGGTGTACACTACTATAACAAAATTCCTATGGAAATTTTAAATTTACCATTACCTAAGTTTAAAACCCATGTTAAGAATTGTCTACTCAGTAAAGGATATTATACTATTAATGAATATTTAAACGATAAAACTACTTGGAGTTAAATATGGCTAATTTTTCATATATATTAAATTGTTAATCGGTGAGCTTCTTTGGCTACAAATGTGATTGGATTGACGAAAATACTGTTTTACTCTTAATATTGTGTTATATTGTAATGGAAAGTGACTTCAAATTTTAATGAAGTCATTTTTCAATCTTGACGCTCTGTATGAAATAAAACAGGGAGAAAAAAGCAGCCCTTGCCGAGTTTCTTGCCGGTTCTTCTCGGTACAAGGTCTCCCGCCGTAGATTTACGAACCGTTGGCGTAGCTCTCGACTTTCACAAGTGCTTGTAACAGCCTAGACTGAATAAATGATTTTGATTTTGATTTTTTGATTTTTTTTATTTTCTTCAATCAAACATCACCATTTGTGATAAAATTAGCTTAACCGTTTTTATGAATTTTTAATAAATTAAAAACACGGTGCAAGGTGTCAAACCACCTAGAAATGATCATCGTTTTTCTTGGGGTAAGTTTTGTTTAGAGAATTAATTAGATGCATAACCAGAATCAAGCCTATATTTTATTTTGATAACGTCGAAAGTTGCTGCTAATACAGACGTAGATAGAATATTATAGCGGGGTATATTTTCCAGGTCGTAATTTCTAAAACAGAATCGGGCAAACGAATAACAGGTGGTGCTTTTGTTTGTAGGTGGTATTTGTTCCATAAAAGTTATTGATGTTGCGTATCTCTTTGCTGCAGACTTATGCTCTATAATATTTAGTCGGATAATGTAAAAGTCTATAAATTAAATCAGAGTCAGAATAAATTAAAGTAGGACCAGCGAAACAAAATATTAATATAAACAAACTTTCAAGTACAAAACGTAATTCTTTTTAGTACTTAACAAATCATTAACTTACTATTTTAAATTAGAGGAAGATACTCCATCAGAAAAGATCCAAATAACTGGATTTTTTTATTATTAGAACTATTTTTGTCATAAAATATAACATGCAACGAAATAATATAATCACTACCTATTGTAATTCAGTAATAGTCAGTTTAATTGCAGATATCCATTCGTTTCACTGACCTTTCTTTATATTTATTTAATTTGTTTAACGACGCTTTTGAACGTCGAATTTTTTTGTTTCTTAGAACAATGATGAGTTCAAGTGTCATGTATATTTGTAGAGGCAGTGTGCTTGCTTGCCTGATACGCATATTATTATGCATATTTTACATATTATTATGAATTTGATTATTTAAACTATCTCATTTATGTCATTCGGTGGCTATAATATAACTATTCTCAGAGTAGTGTAATATATAATGAAATGCGTGTTATAATATTGAAAAATCCGTATATTATTATGACAACTGAACATGTTTACTTAATTAAATACTACACATTAATTTGATTTATTAAATTAAAGAGAGAGTTTAGGAGGAATAAATATTAAGCGACCTTATATTATTATTATTTCTGGTATATTAAGTTCGTCATTAACTTCGTCGTTTGATCTCAGTTTCACAATAAACAGTAAATTTAAAGTTTAAATTTGCCTTTAATGATGCGACAGAAATTTTGAACAATAAAGTACTATAGAGCATTTGAATTTTGGTTTGCTGATGAAATATTGCTCCTTAATGTTGATTAAACCATTTATTTGCATGAAATTTATTAACATTGAAATTGGCATTCTAGACGCTCTATCTGACTTAAAAATAGAACAAAATGATGTTTTTCTGGTCGCTGATCATTTTTATATACACAAATTACTATTATGACAAACTATTCACTTTCAGTGTGAAAAGTTTTTGACTGATGACTACTTTATGATGCTTCAGTTTCTTAAGCGGGATAACCTTTCTTAAAAGTACACCTTACTCAAATATAGCACAAAATTATATGTTATAGTACAGTTGGCAACCCTAGTCCAGACTGAGATAACTTGAACAAAACTATAGAAAATATTACAGTGCAATAGTTTTTCGTAGCGACAATTGCTATTTATACGTGTTTCACTGAAGATGTAAATTAGTTTATTAATTTTATTTTGTATTATTTTTTATGCCAAAGACATTTTGATGTCCATTTACTACAAAATAACATTTTTTTTTATTAATTATTTCAATATGCCCGACTGAGTTGCTCTTTCAATCACTCATTTATATGTTCCCAATTCGCATCACTAGTTCTTTTTTTTTTAACTGGCAGTGGCACGTCAATTGTTAGTTTAGAATGTATTATTTTCGTGAAAACTGTGATTTTACTGCTTATTTCTCAAAAGTGTCTTTAACAATGGTGTTATAAGTGATAATCCAAGTTAACAAATCAGTTTCGATTGCGTTTCATCGTTTGATCATTAAGAAAACTCCGTAAATACTACCGGTGAGTTGTTTGTTTACGTCACTCTCCACTTTAAATGGAACAAGGTATAATCACAATTATAATATTTGTACAACGTTACCACACGCAAACGATAACGTTATCGTTCAAACTTTTTGTGACCATCTCTAGAGATAAAAAAAGTCACGGAAACGTCATTTAAGGATTTGGCTGTATGGCTTAGTTCCTTCGCCTGTCTCTAGGCCGAAACAACAACAACAAATATCAAGAACTGTCACTTTATTCATTGCTAGTACTAAAAATGCTGTTTTATTTTATATATAGACTGTACAAAAAAACATAGTGAATGGATTTATATTAGATTTTACTGTTAATATTGCTTTATCCGCTGATTAAATAATAATATCCTTTGCTAGTATATAATTTAAACATAATAAATATTAATTTATTCATAATACTTTTTTGGTGTTGGTAACCTATTTTTTGCGTAGAGGAGGAAATTTGTCTTCGGTTCTGGGTTCAGGATCAGGATTTTGAGAAATAAAATTTTGTGTGAAATTATTTAATATTTACAGAAAATAAATCACAATGTCCGATCTTCCATATGGACCACCAGTGCGAGTATCGCCGTTGATCAGGGTAAATATCTTTACTTTAATAAAATACTTTTTGATACATTATGTAACAGAGTGTCAAATTTTTATTGTTCTGATTTCAAAAATATAATGATCATTTTGAAAGCATTAACTTGAAGTTATCACATTCCATTTGGTTTAATATTCTTTATACTTTAACGATAGTTAGCCTTAAAAAGTTTGCTCGTCACTGCTTCAGATAACCTCTTAAATTATACATAGGTGTTAAATACTCTTGTTTGATTAAGTACTCCTTATAGTTGAATGAATTTACATATAAATAAATTTCCTAGCACTGGTATTAACTTTTTCTACTTTCAAAAATATTTTTTTTAGGAAAAAAACAGCAATATAATTTTACAGTTTTTTATTTCAGTTTGGTCGTTGGTCATTTTTGACTGCTGGTATTCTCTATGGAGCATTCCACCAAAACAGACTCTCAAAGAAAGAGGCCAAGTTCCGTGAAATTGAAGCTAAAGAGAAGGTCATCAGGGATGCTAAACTTAAAGAGGAGAAGGCCAGGGCAGCTGCTGGTTAGTAATATCATATAATATAATAATCAAAATGACTAAAATGTCAGGTTGTTTGCCTTAAAGAGCTAGGTAATTGGCAAATTTTAATGGATGGTCATGTTAGTAGGTAATCTATTGAATGCAAGATTTATCAAAAATAATTATCGGTAAACTTGCAATATTTTTATTATTAATTTTAATAATAGGGATGATGACAGGGTATCAAAAAGAAATTTCTATTTAGTCAGTCAGTTAGTCAGATAATAGAAACATATTAGATAAGTTTTTTTTTGCACTTCAATGTAAATAAGAAATAGCTGATATAATAGACTTTAAGTTGTCCTCAACTTATATCAGCTATTTCTTTTTTACATTCCACCCACTCCTGTGGGTGCTCACTACGTCACAGTTTTGTAGAAAATGTACAAAATTGTGAAGTCATGCGACATTTCAACTCAATGTATTGCTGTAATTTATTGATTATACAAAAAATATGTAACTAATATTCTTCAATAATCTACCTGACGCACAAATAAACAAAAATTAGTTGTCACCCCTGTTTGTGGTCTTATATTTTTTAAGACTTCCATAAGTGATTTTTATAAAAAAATTAAAACTTTTACAGTATTAATTTAAGTTGTGTTTTCTTACCATCTTACTTTAATAGTCCACTATCTGTTCAATAATTATGTTGAAAATTAAAAAAAAATACTTTTCTTATTTCAGCTGAGATCAAAGCCTTAGAAGAGATGGTGAATAAGAAATGAACTGAAACCTGAAAATCCTAGTTCTAAGCTAATAGTGATGACTGTCTTGTAAAGTTACACCATTTTGAATTAACAAATCCTTGTATGTATAAGATACAATTTACAGATAGACCTTTATTCTATAATATCAAAGTGGTGATTTCCATCAACTTTTCAATGTTGTATTTAAAATATAGGTGATTATTGAGTTGTTTGTTTTTGTTATTTTTACCGATTTCAAAAATGAAAAAGAGGAGGTTTTATGCAGGTTGAATATTCATATTTATACCATTGAAGAAAATAAAATATCGCGTGTTTTGCTTTCCTGTGATTTATTACATTATAATATCATATGAAATAAATGTAAAACTATTTTAGATCATGTGAAAAATAACACTTCAGAATGGTGACATGTTCATGAAACTTCTGTTGAAATTGGGCGATTACTTATAAAAAATATAGGTATTGTTCGTCCTACAGACTTATTAATTGCTATTCGTTATAAACCTTAGTGAGAGAGCCACGTTTGAGCCACGCTTCGGCATGAATGGGCCAGCTCGACCGGAGTGATACCACGGCCTCACAGAAAACCGACGTGAAGCAACGCTTGCATTGTGTTTCGTCCTGTGAGTGAGGGTACCGGAGGCCCAACCCCTCCCTATTCTCTTCCCTCTACCCCTCAACCCTTCCCTCCAAGGCCGGCAGCGCGCTTGTAGCCCCTCTGGTGTTGCAGGTGTCCATGGGCGACGGTAATCACTTACCATCAGGTGATCCGTCTGCTCGTCTGCCCCCTATCCCATGAAAAAAAATACCTATCTACCCATTAGATGCGGATTTGTCACCTAAAGAATTGCTGTCATGGGAGCAAAAATCTTTCTCGCACAACTAGCAGCTTAGCGTTAGTAAAAAATATCACTACTTTAGCTAACGGTCCACCACTTCAGATTCTTTGGAACCGGGGTGAAACCATACTGCCTACAGTTTGCTCAGAGTTTAAATAATTTGCAAATTTTATGACTCGATGAATAACTAGGTTGACACAACTGTTAGGCGTTTAAGTTTTCAGTCGGAAAACTTAAACGCCTATCAGTTTAAAAGACTATTTAATGCAGGTAATGCAAGTGTTCAGTATCTATTAAAATCACATAGGCGGGGAAACAATCTGACATCACAGATAATCTTTACAGGTATGATTTCTGAGAAAGCTTCGTAATTTCGTGTATGAGTGCTCTCAAAACGGGCGGGAGATCAGAAAGACTGAATAAATAGCCTAATGAGTAATTAATAGTCACAGTTACTGTGACTTATACTTGATAGCTTCATACTTATTTAGCATTCACTATCCATCCTGCCGCTGAACTACACCAGTGATGTTGGCGCCCAACGTGGAACATATCTGTAATACTAAAATATTTTACCAAAAACACAAGGCGTTGCCTACTTATATACATTGTCGCTATATAGTGCATAAAAAAGAACGAATTTGGTTTTAATTAATCATTACCACTTTGCCAGTCACATGGAGTGGCAGCGTTAAATTCGTTATCTTTTTTATGCAATATATAAGTAGGCAACGGCTTGTGTTTTTGGTATTACATTTTAGAATTACACATTTATGTGTTCCACGTTGGGCGCCAGTATCGCTGATGTAGTTCAGCAGCAGGATAGATAGTGAATGATGAATAAGTATCAAGCTCGAATTTTATTTATTGTAAGAAGTACAAATAATAATAAATTTGCATAAATAACTTTAATCTCGATTTAACATCTTTATCTTTAATCTCATTACACTACTGAGTAGACTTAATTAGCAATAATAATCTCTCTCGACCGTTTCAAGACACAAAATCAATATTATCATTGATATATGTTTAAGAAAGCTTGTTTTTATAAAAACCGGACGATTTCGAGCCGGATTCGCATACCAAGGGTTCCGTGGGTTAACAGTCTATACCAAACGCAAAAAAATACGTTTAATGAGAGCCCCCCCATTAAAATAATATACACTTAACTCTGGTTTTAGTATTTATTGTTATAACGGCAACAAAATACCCGCTGCACTCAGCACATCTGGTATCAAATAGGGGGAGGATTTTACCATTAGCTTTGTCTCGCGTGTCGAGTATATATGAAAACTAGTAGGTAATTTATATGTTAGATTTTAGGTAAATGTTAGTACATCGCCACTTAAGGTGCGTACTGGTTTTGTACCAAAAAATATTGTGCAAATAAGATGTAATTAGAAAAGAGAAAACTATAATATATTTCGAAAGGTAATATTTATAATTGTTTTGCCAACAGATTCAAACAGCACTTTTACAATAATCGTAATTATAGCAGATGGACTGTAGACTGGATTATCAAAAGCGGGCAGGTAGCAGAGGTCGCAAGTAAAACACTTGGTTCGGAAAACTCTGAGAACGGTCGAAGGCAGAACATGCTTTATTGCGAAAAATCGATTACTTAAGTACAATTTGGTTGCTCGCACTTATTTCATATACAAATCAGTTATCTTATAAGATTTCTTAGAGTGGGGGTACGCTACCCCGCACCGCGCGGGGAGGGGAAGGTTTCGCTGTTTTCCCGCTGGTGGCGCTATTATCGCGACGTGGCTCGATGTCCTTTACAGTAATAGTTTAAGATTAATTATATAAAAATTGTCTTGACGCTTTCGACGTGTCAATGAATGGGGTCTTGATAAATTAACAAGACTAACTGTACCTTGAGCAATTTTCAGCTTTCTTCGTTGGGTTTATCATAAAATAAACACTTTGACTACTGTCTGTTCTTTTAGTAGTAAGCATAATAATATCATTATTTTTTATACTGGAAATGAGCCAGATTTCATCCACTTGTCCGCTCCAATGAACGCTAGTGTTTTTCAAAGATTACTGATATCATACCTAGTTGGTTTTATTTTCCATAGGTACGAGTATTTTATTTATATATAGGTATATTTACCTGCTCCATGGAAAATTATAGTAATGACAATAAAAACATTTATTACAAAAAAAAATATTTCCATTGTTAGTATAGTTGTAGGCATTTAATTAATTAATTAATTGTTTATTTATATTACAACTGCAGCAGCGTGTACTCTCAACCATCGCTCCAGCAGTGGCGAATCCTATATTTCGGCCAATGCGCACTAAATGGCGTTCGAGCTTCGAACGCCATTTAGTGCGTATTAGTTAAGGCACATCGTTACGGTATTTGTAGAAACGATTTAGTTAAGGCACATCGTTACCGTATTTTGTTGTGAATACCGTCAATCCGTGTTTCAGCGAACATAGTTGAAGCACTGCAATACCGTGGCAGCCCGAACACGAACCTAAACGCATTATTCTACCTACTGAACACACAGAGCGTTGTAAGCTCGATGCGTAAAATTGGCCCAGAGATTACACGTGTAGAAAATTTGATAGTATGCTCTAAATAGAGTTAGTTTAACTTGGCGACTACAACGTTAGAATCTCCGAGTCACCATATTACCACGCACACACTACGCTCTGGGTGCTCTTTCTATATCCATATCATCTTACATGAGACCCAGTGAGACGAAGCTGAGACCGGGTACTTAAACCTATCTACACGCTGCGATGGGGAACTACAAAGCAGGACTGATGGTATTGAATTATTATACTTATTTTTATTATAACTTGTTCGTGTTCACGTTGTACCTAAAGCCATGGTCCACAGCATATTTTTCACAGATGCATACATCTAAGTATAAATATTTAGACTATTACTAACGGTAAGTAAGTAGAGTACTATACTTATAAATATATAAAATATAAACGATATATTATATAAAAAGTAATAAAAAAATATAGGATCACATTATAACAACGCCATGGCACAAAATAATAAAAAAAGAGTTATTAACTCTATATTTGAATTCTCACAATTAGTCGCTGAATAATTTAAAATCTGTTATTATATTTGTGTTGACTTGTTGACCATAATAAGCAGTTCTAATTTATTGATAAATATATTTTAAAAACGTAATAAGTAGATCTTCGTAGAGCCATAGTTAGATACTTCAGATTTTTCATCTTTTATTTCAATAAATAAGTAATTTTCAAAATCATTTCTGTATACGCAGAAGTGCCTAAAAAAAGAATGTTAATATGCATGTCATGCCGCATGATCGTCTGAGGACTACGACCACAATAAGAAACTACCGTTTACCACTACTTCAGATAAACTTTACTTGCTGCAGTATTATATTTTAATCGACTCTTATTTGATGAAAGATTGAGTTTTGATAAATCTTCCTATTGTTGATTTCGCTTGTTAAAATTTTGAGGATAGATCGGGATTAATATTATAATATACATACATATATGTGAACACTGTCCCAAAAATATTTATAGAAAAGAAAGAAAATAGTTTTCATTAAAATGATGTATTAAAGTGCCAAACAGTACAATTTCATAATAGACTATATATTTACAAAAACAAGTGAAACCATACCGCAATGTACAAATAATGTAGCGCTATCTAGTAGCCGAAACAATAACTATTCATTCTTAACATAACCGCCCACCATGGACAGCATGTCCATAAAAAACTCTTCATTAGATAATTACACTTTAACCACGAATAACACCAACTTAGACAAAATTTCATTCTGAATAAAGAATAACTAATCTTTTTTTGTTTTTTAACAATAAATGTTTTAATTAAATTAAATAAATTTATGATACATCAATAACAAAAAATTAAATCTTAGGTAATACAAAACAATAATACATAGTCAAATAAATTCATTTACTATAGTTTAACATAATAATTAATTCATTGAATAGATTGAACAATATTTCAACTTAGTTCAAAATAACATAAATTTCATTTTCATTATTTCCATTATTTATCAATCAACCGGTAATATACACAATTTCGAAACGGGTCTTTTAATAATTGAACCTTTGCATCGCAAGCTGACAACACGCGTAATTTGATCAGAGCCAGGGTGTTTTTCTGTCACGATACCGTAAAGCCATCTAGCCGGAGGAAGATCATCCTCTTTAACTAAAACGATGTCACCGATTTGTGGCTCAGCAATTTGCTTTGACCATTTGTGACGTTGATGAAATTGAACCAGATACTCTTTTGACCACCTACGCCAAAAATCTTGTACCATTTTTTGTGTATATTGCCACCTCCTTAAACTATTAATATTTGATGATTCATAATTGGTGTCAGGT